AGGGGGGTCTGGGCGGATGCCGGGGAGCGCCGTTCGGCCCGCTCCGGACGAGGGCCGGGCTCGCAGGAGTATGCGGGAGCGCAGGCGGGGGCGCCCATAATCACGCAGGAGTATCCGGGAGCGCAGGCGGGGGCGCAGTCCGAGGCGCCCACCGCGACCCAGAATCGCACAGGAGTATGCGGGGGCGCAGGCGGGGGCGCAGTCCGAGGCGTCCACCGCGACCCAGAATTGCCCAGGAGTATGCGGGGTCGCAGGCGCGCCCCGACGCGCGTCCTCGCGCCGCCCTCCCAGACTCGCGCAGGAGTATGCGGGAGCGCAGGCGGGGGCGCAGGTTGAGGCTGAGTGAGGCTGATGCAGGCTGAGGCCGAGGCCGAGGCTGAAGGCAGACTGAGGCTGAGGCTGAAGCAGGCTGAGGCTGAGGCCGAGGCAGGCCGAGGCTGATGCTGACGCAGGCTGAGGCTGAGGCAGGCTGAGGCTGAGGCCGAGGTGGGCTGAGGCTGAGGCTGAGGCCGAGGCAGGCTGAGGCTGAGGCTGGGGCAAGCCGAGGCAGGCTGAGGCTGAGGCTGAGGCTGAAGCTGAGGCAAACTGAGACTGAGACAGGGTAAGGAGGGGGGGGCGGGGGGGCTGAGGCTGAGGCAGAGCTGAGCAGCAAGAGCTGAGGCTGAGGCTGAGGAGAGGCAGGAGGCTGAGCTGAGGCTGTGGCTGAGGCTGAGGCTGAGGCAAGCTGCGGCTGAGGCAGGCCGAGGCTGAGGCTGATGCAGGCTGAGGCTGAGGCTGAGGCTGAGGCTGAGGCTGATGCTGAGGCTGAGGCAGAGGCTGAGGCTGAGGCTGAGGGCTGAGGCTGAGGCTGAGGCAGGCTGAGGCTGAAGGCTGAGGCTGAGGCTGAGGCTGAGGCAGGCTGAGGCCTGAGGCAGGCTGAGGCTGAGGCTGAGGCTGAGGCTGAGGCAGGCTGAGGCTGAGGCAGGCTGAGGCTGAGGGAGGGCTGAGGCTGAGGCTGAGGCTGAGGCTGAGGGCTGAGGCTGAGGCAGGCTGAGCTGAGGCAGGCTGAGGCTGAGGCCTGAGGAGGCTGAGTGCTGAGGCTGAGGCTGAGGCTGAGGCTGAGGCTGAGGCTGAGGCCGAGGCAGGCTGAGGCAGGCCGAGACAGGCTGAGGCTGAGACTGAGGCTGAGGCGAGGATGAGGCCGAGGCAGGCCGAAGCTGAGACAAGGTGAGGCTGAATGGGGGGGGGAAGGGGGGGGAGGAGGGGAGGCTGAGGCAGGCTGAGGCCGTGAGGCAGGCACTGAGGCCGAGCAGGCTGAGGCTGAGGCTGAGGCAAGCCGAGGCAGGCTGAGGCTGAGGCTGAGGCTGAGGCTGAGGCAGGCCGAGGCTGAGGCAGGCTGAGGCTGA